TCGATCTCTGTCGTTTCGGATTGTCGGTCGATGGCGAGGGGCTGAACCAGAAGCCGACGCGGCAGGCCTCGAACTGCCCCTGGTTCTTGGACAGCTTTCGGCATTGCCGGTGCACCAAGGATCACGAGCACGCTCAGCTCGTCGGGGGGCGCGCCGCCGCCAAGGCCAGGATCTACCCTCCCTCCAGGTCTGGTTCGTAGGCTCGTTTTCGCCTTGAGAACCCATGTCTCGCGGGCATCCAGACACTGTTCACCAGTGGTGTTCCGAAACAAGTTTCTGGGTTCTGGAGCTCCTGGGCCTGGCCGATCTTTCTTCTTCCCTCTGAGCGATGATGATGTGGAAAGCGCCGACGCCGCCGCTGGCCGGTGCAGAGCTGCTGCCGCCGCGACTCCGCCCGTGCACGTCCCTCCGCCCGAGAATGAGAGAGTTGTCTTCGCCTCTGCTCTCGAGTCATTCCCAAACGAGGACCCGGCGGCCGCTCGGGACGGCCCTCCAGGGATGGCGGCGGAGTTGGAGGGCCCTTCGGAAGCCGAGGAAGAAGAGACCGGCCCCCGGGAGATCGCGATCGACTCTCGTGTGCGAGCGCCGGTGCAGAAGGTGCAAACCAATCTCGGACGTCCTCGGAAGGATCTCTTTGTGCGAGTACTGAAGGCAGCACAGACTCGGCCGGAAGTGATCAGGCATATTGTTTCCCAGTTCTCATGCCCAGACTGGCAGTCGCAGGCGCGCCCTGCTGAGCGGAGGAAGACAGCAATGCCGCACGCTTTCCAGTTCAACCGTATCGTGGCCGTTGATACAGTGTTTGTCAATGTGTTAGGCAGCCCATTCCCACGCTCAACATAATTTGTCACGGTAAGAATTATCAGATGATGACCCGATATGACGGGACAGCCAAGGGAGCCCGGCCCACGTTTCTCCGGGCGTGGCTCAGATTTTTCGGGGCGCCAGACGTCGTCATGAGCGACGGGGGCGGGGGGGTCCTGGGGGAATTCGAGCGGGGATTGGAACGGCGCGGCACGTGCCAGCACGCGTGTGACCCCGCCCCCCCCCGCCAGAACGGCCGCTGCGAAAGACACGGGGGTTGGGTCAAAGATCTGTTGGTCAAGGGTGCCGGGAGCCTCTTGCTGAGTTCGCTCGACGATTTCGACCTCCTGTTGTGGGAGATTCTCTCTGCCAAAAAATCAATACCTGTACCGAGGCGGGTGCGCTCCGCGCCGTGTCAGCTCGTGCGCGGTCGGAGCCCTCGGGCCCCAGTAGATTTTCTCTCGGACACGGCCCACAATCATGTTGCTGTGGGCGATCTCGGGGAGCAGGCCTGGGATATGGACGCGGCGGCTCAAGAGTTCTCGCGTGCCCAGGCCGTGCGACACTACGCCAGAAAAGAGCTCTTTGCCTCATCTTCGGCGGCCAAGATCAATCTGGCCTCTCGGTCCGGGCCCATCGCGATCGGAAGTTCCTGCCAGGGCACTGGGTCTACGTGTGGCGTCGTGCTCACCGCGCGGCCTCCCGCATTTATGGCTTCCAGAGAGACAGGTGGGTGGGCCCCGGGATGGTGGTGGCCCAGCACCAGAGTCACGTCTGGGCGTCGATCCGGGGCCGCCTCTGGAAGTGCAATTCCGATCAGGTCCGTCCTGCCACCAACCCCGAGGCGCGCAGGAACTGATCAGGCAGGTCAGAGGGGGTGCGAACCCCACGGGAGTCGACGTTGCTCGTGAGGGGCCACCTCCTCCCTCCCCCCCCTGACTTGGGCGATTCAGCTTTCGTTCCCCACGGAGCGGGCGCCCCCCCGTCGCCCGGTCCTGCCGCGGGCACTGGGCCGGCTCCCGGCAGGGGGGGGTGGCGAGTTTTCAGAGGCGCCGTTTAGAGGCATCCCAGGGGGCCCCCCTCTCTCCTCCATCCCCCCCGCAGGACCGCCGGAGCATTCGACGGCGACTGGCCCGCCGTCTCCCGTCTCCGATTCTATCTCTGACCCACCTCCCAAGAGGGCGAGATTAAGGGGGGAAGACCCCGCGCCCTCCGCGGATGCCGAGGGCGCCACCTCGGGGGCCCCGCTTGCTCTCCTTCTCCCGCGACGTCCCGGTCCCCAGTTCCGAGGCGCCCAGAGATGTCGCTGAGACGGGCTCGAGTGCGCTTTTGCAGGCCCCGGGGGCCCCCGTTTGAAAGCTCCTCGGATCTCGGCGCCCGGTCTCTGGCGACGGAAGCCGCGGGGCGGTCTTGAGGGGTCGAAGGTTGCGCCAGGTGCGGGAAGTGTCGGCCCAGGGTAGGCCCCTTCCCCATCCGACCAGGGTTGAGGACTTCGGCGTGTCTCCTCCTCCGGGTAGAGTTCGGCAGGCTACTAGCGAGTGGGGGCGGCAGGTGCGCAGCAGGACCGAGGGGCCCCAGGCCCCAGAAGGCCCTGTTGAGATGGAAGGCCTCGAGACCGAAGACCACGGGCAGGACCTTGTTTCGTATCTTGCCAATCTTCCAGAGACCGAGCTGAAGACGTACTTACAGGATCTGGATTCGAACCTCGATCGCCACGGCTGGAGCGGCTCTTGGTGGAACTGCGCTCGCGGCAACGCGGACATCAACCTGGAACCTGGCGAGGGTGGCAGCTGTGGTCTTTCTCTGCTCACCTCCCGCGGGGGCGAAGTGATCAAATCCCGCCCCCCCCTGAAGAACGCCGGGAGTTTGATGCCTCGGATGCCGAGGAGTGGAATTCGATGTTGGGCACTCGGGTTGTTTTGTGCCCCCCCCCCCCCCCGATGAGGGCAAGAAGTTGCGCCTGCAATATCCACTCGTACTGCGTCTTCTCGGACGGTGCGGAGGTGGAAGCCTCGGGGGGGGGGCGCGTTTAGCAGGGCGAAAACCAAGAGCAGATGGTGCGTTCGGGGGCACGAGGACGAGGACACTCACGAGCTGGCAGTATACGCGCCAACACCCCAGTCCGAGTCGTTAGTGCTCTTTCTCTTGATTGCTCTGAGCTATGGGTTGAAGGTGTTTGTCGGGGATTTTAAAAACGCCTCTTGCCGGAGCGAGAAGTTGGCCCGGCCCCGGGGGCGCGCGTTCGTCGAGCCGTGCGAGGGGCCCCCCCTCCCGAAGGGGGCCCTCGTAGAACTAATAGCTCCAGTCTACGGACTGGACGACGCCCCGCTCGCCTTTCACCGCGCCACCACCAATTATTTGGGCAGCTTAGGGTGCGCCAAAGCGAAGATGGAGCTCTGCTGGCACGTCCGGAGGACTCAGGAGAAGCCCCAGGCCATAGTTTTAGTGGAGGTCGACGATTGGGCCATCGCCCTCGATCCGAGCATCGCCGATGACGAGATCACGGCGTACACCTCGAGGCTTAAGCACGGGAAAATGAAACTGCTCGACTCAATGGGCACCGAGTGCATCGGGCGCCGAATTCGGAGGCTTCCGGACCGCATTCTGATCGACCAGGAGAAGTATATCTTGGAATCTTTGCACAAGATACATGTCCCTCGGAATCAGCGAGCGAACCACGATGCGAGTCTGAGTCCGAGCGATATGGCCGAGTTCCGATCGGCGATCTATAAGATAAACTGGGTCGGCCGGGAGACGAGAGCCGAAGTGCGTGGTGTGGCGTCGATCTTTGCCGGCAGAGTGCACAGTCCAACCGTCGGAGATGCGGGATTGGCCAACAAGGCTATCAACCAGTTTCGAGCGACGGCTTCGGTCCCGATCACGATTTGGCGGTTCCCTCCCAAGCAGATGGTGTTCGCGAAAGCTTTAGATTGCGGAGGCGTGGCCTCGTCGTCGGGTGAGAAGGCCCAGCAGGCGTATCATATATCTATATATATATATATATATGCCACCGACCGGGCTATTTCCCAGGGTAAGATGTCTCGTGCCACCCCTCTGTCTTGGAGATCCTGCCGAGTGCGAAGGCAGGTCTCAAGCACCCTAGCCGGCGAGGTCGTAGCTCTGAGTGCGGCCTTGGCCGAAGTTGAGTGGCTCCAGATGCTGTGTTGGGATATCGTGGACGGCTCTCTGCTGACTGAGGCCTGGCGAGAGCACGTGGGCCCGTTCGTGTCTCTGTTGCGTCAAGATTGTTCTCTGAATCGCGATCCGTCGGGAAACGTTTCCATAGTCGATGCCAAGGGTATCTTCGACACTCTCGATCGCACCACGGCAGGGTCCAAGACGGACAGAAGGACGTCGATCGAGCTCGCCATATGCCGAGAGTCCCTGGCCCGTATCGGTCGCACTATTAGGTGGGTCCCCCACCCGGTCATGCCGGTCGACCCCATGACCAAGGCAGACCTCGCGAAGAGTAATGCTGCTCTCTTCTCTCTCCTCAGGACTGTTATGCTGCAGATAGCCTCGGAGAAGACGTCGTTGGACGAGAGACGTCTCGACCCCCAGACCAAGGCGCGCTCTCATGCCGCCTCGCTCCGTCAACTTGCTTCCCAGTCCGAGGGCTCGTGCGTCGCCGGTCCCGGTTCGGTCTTTGCTTCTCTCCCCCGCTCAGATCCGTGATTGTTTCGCCTTGTTTCGTGCGGACGAGGTGCAGAGACACAAGGTATCCACGATATGTTTATTTTGCTTCACATGTTTTCAGGTGTCTTGGACTTGTTTAAAGTAGTGCCCACTGTGAGAGTTTCTCCGTGGGTCAAGTCCAAACATCATGTTGCTAGCTTCTGCTCCGTAGCCGTTGGCTTATGGGTACCTTCAGATAGTTACACATGCAGGCCTCGCTATAGAGAAAGATCCCGCCCTCTCTCTGTTCGGTGTTGTTCTCGTTGGTTTTGGACTCACACCCTTCCCTCCGCCCTGCAGGCGGCTGCGACGACGGACGACCGACCCACGACCCACGACCCACGGCATCGACGCCGACGGCGTCGCCGATCGACGGCGACCAGCGACGGCGGCTCGGCCGTCGGCCGCGGCCGTCGATCGTCGGTCGCCCGCGGGTCCTCGGTCGGTCGGTCGGCCGATCGGTCGGTCGGCCGGTCGGGCGGTTGGCCGACGGCGACGACCGAGACGGCGCTTCCTTGCAGGCGGCGGCGGTGGAGGCCTCGTTGGACGCCTGCGGCGCGGCGTGTTCCTCGCGCGGCAGGAGCGAGGGCTGCGGCCACCGCGTCCTTGCGGCCCGCCCGCCCCGCCCGCCCAGTCGATGCGCCGAGGCACCGAGGTTCGAAACTCGAGGTTCGAAGGTCGAGGTTTGACTGGGTTTCGGCGGATTTCCAGCCTCGGGGTGCCTTCCAGAAGCTGCGCCTCGCCGAGGGCGTTCCAGGGGTGCCCAGATCGTCCTGGACGGCCGCAGGTGGCCCGCGGTGTGATCCGAGAACCTCCAGTGCCAGAGCGCTAAGATGTCCAGGCGTCGCAACGCGTTCTCATTTGGCAATTTTGCGCCTTTTCGGGCCCCGGGACCCTAACGGATCGATCCGACTCGAGAGATGCCGCAGAAAGGTGGTGTCCAGGGCTTTGGTCGAGTTGTTTGTGTGTGTATATATATATATATGTACTCAGTTGTGTTTCAACAGCGATGTTGCAATGCTTCGTGACATCGGATGTCAGGGTGCGCCGATGTCCTCCGGCGGTTGGCGCTCGATCTTTTGGCACTCGATTCCGCGGTTGGCGCGATTTTTCTGGAGATCGATGCCGTGAAGGCAAGACGTTGGAATCATGACCATTTGGGGCTCAGGAGGGGCTCCGGTGTTCGGGCCGTTCCTCAGACTTGGTTCGTGGAGCCCGCCCGTGGCCGAGGCTAGCAATAGCCAGCAAAGCCCCTTTGTTCCTTACTCGGCGTGCTTTGTGGTAGCCCGGCGGTCGTCCGGCTTGGGTCTCTTGGAGCGCTTTTGGCCGCTTTTCCTAGCCTGTTCGTCGCCACGGCTGGACTCGCCTTCAGGTTCTGGCCACGGCGCATCCCGGGAGAGGATGGCCCCGCCCGCCCCGCCAGGCCGTCCTCTCGGGGGGCGGAGGTCGCCCTCCATCGGTCGAGGATCGAGGGTCGAGGGTCGGACATCGAAGATCCCGCCCAATCAACCACCCCCCCCTCCTCCGTTCTCCTCTTTCCTCCTCCCTCGTCCTCCTCCTCCTCCTCCTCCTTCTCCTCTTGTCTGCTCTCGCGTCGGATTGTTTGACGGTGTGTTCCACGGGTTGTGACAGGCAATTGGCTCGGATCTTGCACGGGACCATCCGTCTCGCAAAGACTTCCGTGCCGACAGGCCGATTGTGATTTCTTCGAAGGCCACGAGGGCCTGGCTGGTTCCGAAAATGGGGCTGGAACAGCAGCCCGCCCTTGCACGCCCGCTTGCCAGGGGCTTGAAGCCCTAGGTTCCGATCGGGAAGGGGGTGGACTTGGCGAGGGTATTGGCTTTGTTCGGCCCCCCAGACAGGGCTGCGGCCGAGGTCCTCGGCGTCTGTGCTGTGGAGCGCAGGAGCCGTGCGGCTCGAGTCGATCCCGGCATTAATTCGTCCGAGGTGTAACCTCGGTCAGAGGGGCGGCCTTGGCTCCTGACGGCGACCCCTCAGGCCGACGTGCCGCCTTTGGTTTGGTGCATGTTAGAATGCGATCGCTTCCCCAGTGGGTGCCGGACTCCCTCCTCCTCCTCCTCCTTCTCCTCCCTCCTCCTCCTCCTCCTCCTCCTCCTCCTCCTCCTCCTCCTCCCTATTCCTCCTCCGCCTCCTCAGCCTCCTCCGCCTCCTCCCCATCCTCCCTTTTTCTCCTGCCCGCCCACCTGGCCAGACTCGAGAGGCGGAGCACGCCCTCGATCGGTAGAGGATCGAGGGTCGAAAATCGAGGATCCCCCTCTCCCTCCCTCTACGATCGAGGCTTTGTGTCGCGCGTGTGGACGTGTCTGAGCCTCTTCGTCGCTACGGCTGGACTCGCCTTCAAGGTCTGGTCTGAACGCGTCCCCAGAGCGGTCCTTGGATCCACTTCGAAGACTTGGATCCCATATGACTGGCACGTCTTGAATCGCGGCTTGGCGTCTGGAGTCTATCACGCTCTCGCGCCCGCCGCTCTTCGTGGCTTGCACCCCGAGGGTTTTTTTCGTATTGTGTAGGCGTAGGCATACAGCTGGCACGGGGATTACTGTCAACCTCAGCTTCCCAGGCCTCCAACGTCTTGAAACACAAGGCTCAGCTTCTGGACTGTCGAAAAGGACTCGAGATGGAAAGCCAGACTGGGGAATCGGGATTTCTGGAGACCTTCCCCCTTCTTACATAGTGAAGAACGAGCCCCTGGATGTTCCCCGTTTTCGGGGCCCCAGGACCTTGCACGGGCCGCCCCATGACAGTCATTTTCGACTCAGGGTGAACTTCTATTGGGGGAAAGCGCTGGGATCTAGGGTCTAGGACTCGATTCCCTCCGGACGCCACTGGGCGCAGCATACTCTAATCTAAAGGACCCCCCGAGGCCAGATGTTTGTCCATGCCCCCTTTGCGGCCCCTCGTAGGGTTGGAGCGTGAGCAGGGGCATGGATGAAACGACAATCGCCTACCCCTCCAGCCCTCGCCCAGCGCCCCGCGAGGGGCCCAGGCCTCAGCAATTATGGAGGCAACCCACAAACATCCACATGCATGTAGCTCGTGCGCGTGCTGGCATTCTCCTTCGTTTCGGTCTCTGGGGAAGCTTTTGTGGGTGGGCTCCTGAGCAGTCAAGGATGGCCCTGAGGCACACAAATACCCATGGGGAGACGGATCAAGACCTTTCGGGCCGGCGGATAAAAACAATCCATCTGATGTTTCGGAAGGTGTCCAGGAAGACAGGGGTCGTGGAGATTTTCTCTCCGCGGGACGTCTTGGGGAAAGCCCTGGGGACCAGGCCTCGTTTGCACCAGGCTCGCTTCCCTTATGCTTAGGATCTCCATGGGGAGGGGGGGAGGGAGGAGGAGGGGGAGCAGGGGGATGATGATGCTGATGATGATGCTGATGCTGCTGCTGATGATGATGATGCTGATGAGGATGCTGATGATGATGATGATGATGATGATGATGATGATGACGATGATGATGATGATGCTGATGATGATGATGATGATGATGCTGATGATGATGATGATGATGATGATGATGATGATGATGATGATGCTACTGCTGCTGCTGCTGCTTCTGATGATGATGATGATGATGATGATGATGCTGATGATGATGATGAGGAGGATGATGATGATGATGATGATCTGTGTGAGCACCTTCATGATGAATAGCAGTCGTTGAGTGCCAGGTGTATCTTCAGTAGTTCTTTTTTGGGTTCAAGAACTTCCCCCCCATCGCGGATAGGGATTCGGGAGGTCTCCACACTCAGAAAATTTCAGAGAGGCCGCGCGATTCGCGGGGAAGTGGGTTCTCTTCTGCCAGATCCAGTCCAGCCTACAGCCAAGTCTGCAGTGCTCGCTGATCCCAGCTTGCCCACCGTGCCCCGACTGCGTGTGCAATCTCTCGCTGCCAAGTGTCGTGCCAGCCCCGTCCGTTGAGAAGACGCAGGGCGTAGCCGGCCAGGACAGCACAGAGGGACTCTGCCTAGATCTGTGCGTCTTCATCTTCCTGGTGGTGGTGCTCTTCGTGATAGGGGCAGGTGCGGGATACGCCTTCGGACGGGGACGCGGGCCCAGTCAGCGTGAATAGGTTGATCTGGCTAAGGCGACAAGAGCACAGCTCGATTTCCTGCGGAAGTGATGGCGCGTGTTGGAGACCATGTCTTGGTGAGATATGATATTCCAGGGCCAGAGGTGTGGCATGAACTGCTCGTCGCTGCGGCGTCGACTTCCACTCCTGGTTTGTATGCGGTGGATTCCGCTGACGATGACCACTGATACATCGAGCTGGCGGCGGCGAGCCAGGATTCGATCGGATTGAAGTGGATCGGCCAGGAGGGACCCAACGTGCTCGGAGTACGAGCTGATCGTGTGTGTCGGTTCCGCGGGGCTCCCGATCCGCAGGAGCTCCAGCAGCTGTTCCGCGACGGGGCCCTGCTGGTCGGTGCACCCCCTGCTGGGCCGCTGGCCCCTGCCCCAGATGACCACCTCGCGCAGCGACGGCGTGGTCCCAACGCCATTGTGGCAGGGGTCGGTCGGGCGCCAGCCGTTTCTGCGGCAGCCGCGCCTGGGGCATCCCCTCTCGCCGTCGCGGTCGCGCCTGGCGCAAACGCAGGAACGGCGGTGGCGCCGCGTGGCAGCATCAGGGTGGCAGCAGAGGAGGTCGGCGATGTCAGGAAGGGCGACAAGATCCGCGAGATGCCCGACGATGCCCTGATCAGCGGCTCGCGTGGGATCGCCACCACACGACAGGGTCAGGTCCTCTTGCGCCAAAAAATCACGCGCGAGCTTGACGTTTTCAAGAACGAGGACCTGCGAGTGCTCCCGATGCGTTTCGACTCCACAGGCATGAGCCGCAAGGCCTTCGCAAATGCCGTGGAGATCATGATGGGAGATGAACCAGAAGGAGGCATCGGTCTCAATGGGCCGCTTCACGATGTGGTTGCTCCAGTCGATGAAGGACGAGGGGGCGCCGCCGATCGTCAGGCAAGAGCACAGTTGCTTCAGGTGATCGGTCAGTGTATGAACACGAAGTACTGTGTCAAATAATGGACAGCATGATCGAAGAGGCCCACAAAATGTCGCCAGGATCGCCCGACTACATTGCGGCCGACCATTTCATGGGCTGGAACTCGCGCCGCCACGGCGCTATGGTAGCTCCAACGGGAAGAACGAGATCATGGTCGCGAAGGAACTTCGCAAGGCCCGAGAGGGGGCCAAGCTTGGCCGAGGTGGCGGTCGCGGAGGCGGACGTGGCGGCGTCGACAAGGGCGGCGGCGGCGACGGCGGCCAGCAGTCGCAGGGACGAAGCTTCGCCCTCAGCGCGGGAGTCGCGGCCCAATCCGGACCGGCCGCCCTCGCGGGCTGCGCTCGCAGAAGCCGCGCGCGAGGACTTCAGCCCGACTCGTGCGCGGGGCCACGCGGGGTTTTCCTCCAGTCATTCTGTGGGTCGCCATCGACTTCGACGGGTGCCGTTCCTGCGCGCGCCTTGTCCGGGCGCGCGCCAGAGGGAGCTGTTCTGTCTTCCCGCCCTCGATCTCGCGGAGCGGGCGCGGCCGGGCCCTTCGCGCTCGGTCGAGAGGCGTCGAGCGAGGCGCCGCGCAGCG